TGTGCAAATCTTATGTCGATGTTTTCATGCCTAAAGCTCGTATCAGATTACGGATTGATGGGATTGAGATTGGATTGAAATTTGACCAATCGGAGCAAAGCTCACTAAACTTTAGTTTTTTAAAATTCTGATTGATCCGCAGTGTGAAACGGGCTTTAGACCGCTAATTTGAGATTGATCACGTTGACATTTCTCCGGCAAGAAAATTAACGCGGTTGCAACAGCATTGACAGCGTTTTACTCGTGAGATATCCGATAAGCGATCTCTATGTTGTGAACTCGGAATACCGGTCTATTCGGTGCTTCAAGTACTCAAGTACTTCCTTATATCTACTGCGCGCGTCACGTGTAAGAGCTGATCGTTACATAGTATCGTTGCATTATCATCAAACTCGCCACGCGTCGTTGTTTCCACTTCACGTGCAAGGAAAAGTAATACCGGCTTTGTAGAAAATCTAATGATTCGAAAATAAACGACACAAATATTACGAACAAGAGTTATAGCATTGATTGTTTATTGTAGACAGAAAAGGACTTGACTATAACTTTCTAAACGATATAATCATTATTTCTTCCACAATCTATAGTAATTTTAAAATTTGCGCAGCATAACACGAACTCAAAAAATAGGTTTTATATCTACGATGGATAATTTGCAACTTATCTTATAAAAATATAAAACAAGAAAACTGAATAATTTATTGTAATTTTTTAATTTTTGCAATAAAATATTTCTAAGCCTAGAAATAAAATTGTACTGTGCTAAAACCCAGTTTGAAGTTATAAGACATTTTATATTTTTAGAAGCTTTCTGCACTTGAAGCTCAATTCATATGGAATGATTATACAATCAATTTCTCATAAATTGATCAACTCTGTTGCCATTTAATAAAAAAAATTTTATCTCTATACAAATAATCTAGTCATCTTTAATCACAAAAGCATTTAATATATTTGCCACTTCGACAACGTTTTAGCAATTAATCATTAATCAACTAGGAGAATGGGAGAAGAGAGGAAAAGAGACCATCTCTGATTTGTTTCGCGAACGACCATCAGCTTCTCGGAGCGCGGATCTCGAGGCGATTTCCGTGCGGCGTTCATTAGCGATCTAACGAAGATCATAGCGCGATCGGGAAGTGTATTACACCTCGTTACACACGCACACACTCGTGTGCATCGGGTTAAGGCCGCGGTCCCTGCGATCGCGGAGCACGCGACGATCCAGGAAACGCCGGCAGGCGGGATAATGCGGACGGCACAAGGGGCCTTTAACAAGCTTGGACGAGAGGCACATACGCGAGCGCAATGCTGCACCCAACTAGGCTGACTTTCCGAGACCGCCCGCATTGACGACGGGAAGGGAAAGGAAGAGAGAAAGATAAAGAGAAAGGGAGGTAGGGAGGGATAATAAGAAACATACACCTAACACCGGTATAATGAGAAATATGGCGCGACCGCTAATACACCGGCCCGAGCTGATACTTTTTGTCGCGGTTGCAAAGTCTCCCTTCGTTTTAGAGCATCGCTTTTCAACCATTTCTGAGCGACAGAACGCTCCTGATTGCTAAAAAATGCTGGCACGTAAACATACTTATGCGCATTTTGTTTGTTAAAAGTACGAAACATTGGCAATGAACTAATTGTAAGAACGAAACATTTAAGATATTTTTTTATAGATAACTATATTCTTATATATACAGATATTCCTTAAAAATGATTTATGTTAAAAATAAACTGAGCAGGTATATATAATATTTTTATGGATGGAAATAACTGTTTGTCGTAATTATTATTAATGACCAATAACAGCATCAAGGATTAAATCGGTGTATGATATGAATATCCGAATTTAATTGCTTTCACGGTTTGAATCGATCATCGTGATTTCGCGGTAAATCGTACTGAGCGAAGCACGCGCTTTTATTGTTCACGTTATCGCAAAAAGTGAATGGGTAAGAGTTCATCGACCGCATCTGTGTGATTGCGGCGTTGTCACTTGACCTTGTCGATCGAGATATGGCCCTCGGAAGAGAGAATTAAAAAAAAAAAGATACGAGAAAACGTTTGCTCTCAGTATTTTCAGAAATGTTAATCGATACCACATTTGAAGATTTAACTGCTGATATTTTTATAAATGACCCAAAAAGTGAGATTGAAACACAAATTGAGTTTGAGATATATAAATCAATTTAATATGTATTAAAAAATTGTTATATTTCACGGTACATATAGCGCGTAAAAAAGAGTTCGGCAACGAATATCGATTATAAAATAATGCAAGCTTCCAAGTTCTAAAATAGTTGGCCTCTGCTTGGAAATCGTTAATTTTGTGCCGTTATTCGTAAGACGCACATTAGTGCACTAGTATCGATATAACAGACAATTATATATGTTAATTATTATCGGACTCTCGAGCGTTTTGGACGATTTTAAAAACGATAGAGCTGTCAAGAACAGGCAAGAGATATCGAAGATGCGAATTAATTTTGATCGCCGCGTTGGCGATATACACGGAAAGCGGAAACGCTCGTAACTTGCGACGGTTCGCTGCGTTTAGCTTTATCTGCCGTGTTTATCCCGTACTTCGCCGTGGCTCGTGTGTGGCATATTAAGTTGCTTTCCTGAAACTGCGCATAAACAAGATAGAAGCGCGATCTCTGTATACCGCTTTTAGTGTATCTACGTGACCTAGCGTAATATAATGACCGCGCGATTCAGCAACGGAGGCTTAACAGATCAGTTTCCGCTGGTAATCATTTCTGATTCTCTTAAATTTCACAATAACTAGTTTTACAGAATCGTGGAAACAACAGAGATAAGTAAAGAAAAATGTGTTTCGGTTAATTCCTAGTGAATTTCGTTTTTATCAGGATCTCAAATACCGATTCTGAGGATTCCAAACAATAATCTCTTTAGCAAACTTGTTACTTGCTAAAACATATACGATCTAGCTTCGTATAAATTAAAATACGCTCTGTATACATACCCTCCGCAGCGAAAGGCTTCGACACGTGTTAAAAATGCAGCGAAGGTGTTGGGAAGTCAGCAGGATGCAACGCTTACTTTGCGTAGCGTAAGAAAAGGATCATTAATACAATATTATTAATAATTAGCTAGTAATAGAGGAATGGTTGAGTCCGGCGCATACACACACATACCAATACCGTTACAATCCCACATATCGCATTAAGAGAATTGCGAGAGACAGCGAAGGGCGCGCATCTCCTTCAATGAGAATCGTCTCCCCACGGGTCCAAGATGACGACGGCTCACCGACCTCGACGATGTCAAGGTCACTGAGACCGCCACCATCTTCTCCGAGGAGAGAGAGAATCGTCTTTAAAATTATTGTTACGCGATCGTCGGCCGATTAGTGATTAATACCGATACTGATATTAGATAACGCGCGAGGAAAAAAAACGAATCAATCGCATAGCGTAACGATTATTTCGAGCCGTTAGTCTGCGGCAAGATTTGCTAATTAAGTATGTTACACATTGATATTCGAGGCGATTGCAGAAGTTAGACACACAAGTTAGGCGTATTGCATAGCTCGTAGCGCTATGGCGCTGCTTGACGTCTCGGCTTTCGTCGATCGCGCGATTCACTCCTACTCGAGAGAAATCCGAGAAATCTTATTTCTTTATATTTATAAAAAAATGTTGACGTAAGGAATATAAATTAAACGTAACAAGCAGGATGGTACATTTCTGATCTTGACAAGGAGTTACTCGGGAAGTTGATTTTTTTTTCTAGCTATAATATTATCAGTTTCATTGCCGTGCGACAAATTTTACATATTCATCAGAGATTCAAGGATATATGGCGCGTTAAATGTCGTAATGGCGAGTCGAAATCCATAAAATTTAAGCGCGACGCATTGATTTCGTCGAAACATCATAAAAAGAGATCTACACGAGTGATAAATCGACCGGGAAGAATCCAAACGTGCGCGCGCGATCTTAATTAAATTCGTTGACAAGCTCCGAAATTTCTCGCGTCTCCGTGTCCCTGCGAGATTAAGCATGCGATGCCTGCCGTGTCAGCGTATCAGTCGGAATTTCGCACGACCGCGCGCATAATTTCCCGGGCAGGACGCTTCTCGGAAGCGGCCGTCGAGAGAAGAGATCGCTAGCGAGAGCCAGCAAGAGAACGAGAGAGGAGTCGCAGCGAATAATTTCCACAATCTGGGATCACTCTCTAGGGCCGTAATTTTTTCTCTGAGATACAAGACATCGCGGCATCGCGAAGTAAAATCGCTTTTGCGCGATCTCTCTCTCGGGGCCCTCCTCTCTCCGTTCTTTTTTTCTCTCTCTCTCTCTCTCTCTCTCTCTCTCTCTCTCCTTTCCTCGACCGGCTTTTCGTGCACTTTTATAGTGGCAACGCGCATTAAATTCTGGCCGTGTATGCGCGCTCGTATCGTGAATCGTACCGGAAGATCGTCCTTGCGGACACGTCCCGTCGCGTAACCTCCGCATTTTATCAGATTTTAATTTGGCGAACGGTACTTGGTCCTCGCGCGCGCGCAGTGTACTGTTAGGCGAGGCTCGAAGGGCCAGTTTTATCGAAGGTCGCCGGTCAATCAAGTCTGATTCTATGTTCTCAGTCAAAATCTGAATTTTAAATCTATTGTATTTACGTCCTTGCTTTTACGTCCTAGAATTTAATAAAAGATAATTTGTGTAAAACTGTACGTAATTTTGCGTCAATATTGCATGTAATTTAAAGCTCTTCTATCGACAAAAAGTTACAAGCTTATCTATTGGATCGATTAAAATGTCTATAAAGTTAAATTAATATATATATTTTAAAGAATGCTGCGCGGGAAAATATTATTATATTGTATGCTATTATATATAGTCGTTTTTTCTAAAACGTAGCCGACACACTTTGGGTCCAAAAGATCAAGCAGCGCCATTTCTTTCGATCTCTCTCGCTCCGCTACATATGCAGGATATGTCGCAGTTTGTGTGGTGTGTGATATTGCCTGGACTCACCGATCCTCTTCACGTGGACGTCTCGATTGAAGGAGACGCTCCTCTCGGCGGGCTCGGCGACGGAAGCCCTGGGTGCAACGGGGGGTAGTAAATGCGTGCCGGGAGGGTTGCAGCCTTCTCCCCCTCTTAGTAATTCCGAGCGCTGTATCGTGAGCATCTTGCCTCTCAAACTTTTCTCCCGATCATGCCACACGACACCGGCTAGGAGCACCGTTTCCCGTTTTGTTCGCTCAAACCCCGTCTCGTGCTTATATTTTTACTACCCCACCCCCCTAGAGCTTTCTCACCCCCGATCTTATCTTCCCTCTTTTTCCCTTTCCTGCTCTCACGAGCACACCCGTAGACCCGATCACCGACCTGTAAGCCAAGCAAAGCTGCGCTTTTAATATCTAAAAGTAATCTCGTCGACGGAGATTTAACGAGTTTAATCCCATTTTCGCCCGTTGCTCCAGTCTGAAATCGTCTGTTTGTTCGATCGAAATTACGAGTGTTTGTTTGGAAGTTGACGGCTTCTCTTAATACGCGAGTAATAGAATTTTCTAAGAGTATCAGAATAATATAATTAGACGTACGATATAATTGCGCGAGCTGATAGGGTGTATCAATTGTAACAAGCTTTTCCAGAGCTCACTCCGTTTTCCAAACAAACAATCGGCTGAATTGTTCCCTCAGTTGTCATGAGAGTGCAGTTTATGCTCGAGAATGCGTGCTTTCTGTACATGATATTTCTACGCACGCGTACGTGTTTGCGTGTGTGTGTGTGTATGCGTGAAAAACGTGAGAGAAAGAGAAGTGATAGCATCGTGCGTTCTCGGCGACGTGTCTATACTAGCGCATGCCAACTGTAGGTAGATGATGATAAACGCGCAACGAGTGATAATGGTTCTCTTTGTCGTCATGCAGGCAGATGGGATACTCGAGATACGTGCAACGATATAATGACAGTGACAGGGATGACGGTGACGGCGCATAATATCGGCAATGGATTCGCTGATGAGAACTTTGCTAATAGGAGCGATTGTGCGATAAGGCCGCCGTCGTGGCTTTTTCCTTACATCCGTCCGCATTAAGCGTTATCGTAATTATGCCCAGGATTCTGGATGTAACTCCGTAGCACGCTATCGATGCTACGATCTAAGCGCAACGACACCTAATTTAAATTTCATAGAGGCTGAAGCTTCAAAGCCGCATGTCGCCGGCTCGGGGCAACGAGAGATACGAAGTCGACTTGATTTTAATTAATTCCTGATACGGCGCGAATAAATTGTTCGTTCTCGCTTTTGTCATATTTTTGTCGTCTGTCACAAGTAAGTCTTTATTCTTTATACGAAAATATTGCTTCCTGTTCATAGATTGAAACCTCCACTTCCCATTCACGAATTAATAGCTCAACGTAGCGTGACGTCAGTTTTCAAGTTATACAATCCAGCGAGACTCCTATTTTCGTCGCGTGAAATCTATTCTCTGAGGAATAATGTATTTGTATATTGCTTCATAATGCTGTGACGAAAGATAGAACATAGTGGATACAATGCAATAGAACCTATCAAATACACGCGACAGAAGTCTTTTTCTTGAAAGATAAAAAGCAGAGACACGTACAATCCCAGATGTGTCGAAACGAGATTCGAAACCAAGAGATCCTAATCGACGAGACCCGTAAGTGACCAAAGTAACAGTTACACTCCAATGATCAGTCGCCCTGAGACGTTCTTCGTTTTCACGAATTTACGTAAATCGATCGTAAGGCAATCAATCGTCAGATCTTACGACGTATAGAAGCGAAATGGTTAGAGGTGGTCATCTCGATAAAAACAGTTCTAAAAATATCGCTGACGACGGTCACTCAAACGACACTCAGGCGGAAGCGGCGGGCTTGCTCATTATGATTATAAGCGTTTTATTTCACTAGATGTTTTTCGCGCTATCGTGTAAAAACAACGTTCTCCTTTTTTTCAAGAAGTCGGCCTTCGCCTTCGTCGCGATCCTGGTTTTACTGCGCGAAGTCGACGTTGCGTTGTGCAATCGATGCACATTATGCTCCAAAACTTATCGTTAATAATCAACGTGTAATTTATTATCGGTTTGAAAATTTGAACTTACTGCACTTTTTAAGAATCCTGTATGCGAAGCTTTCTATCCGAAATATGTAATTAAAAGAATTTCCTTGTTACATTTAAAAAAACCTCAAAGATTACAATTGAAAGAATACACTTTATGAGTTGATTTTGATGAAGATTATAAAGAACCGTTCTTTGCAGGATAGTTTCAATTATTAAAGACATTAAACGTTCCATCGACCGCGACAGAAGCGACTTTTCGAGAGAACCGCTGTAAAAGAAATTAACATTCGTCGCGCGTTTTTGTCCACTCGCGGTCGGGCTACCTTGAAACAAATAAAGGTGACCCTGCACGTGCGCGTGCGCGTCCATCTCTCAAGGCCATCTGACTAGAGTGACACGTTGTCCCGGCGAGTTCTCGCGACACGTGACACGTGGGGGTGAGCCGTCACTCAGAGACTTTATTAGCCCTGAGAAAGCGCAAGGGAAGAGACGCAAGGTTCCAAATGAGACAATTCGCATGAACCCGATTCAGGGATTAAGATACCCTCGGTAGGCTCGGTAGCCATATTTGGCGAAGAGGACCGCAGCAGAGACCCCCGGGTTGTCCCCCACGGGGGCCTCCGCTATAAAAACCGACGTTAATATATAATTTTTTTTTCGAGATTCGAGAGTTTACGACGGGACCCTCTCGCGCATCGACTCCCACGCGCCTTCTAGTCGCCCTAATCGCGCGAAGAGACGTTCAATTCGATTCGGCGGAGGGGAAGGAGACGAAAAAAAAAAAATTAACGATGAACGCAGATTTCGACCGAACCGCGTCTAATGTACGAGAAGGCCCTCTAATGCGTCCTTCGTTATTCGCCACGGCGCTGGATAACAGCAAAACGAAGGATAAGAATGCTGCTAAGTGCGGCGACACGACACGGCTATATTCTTGCGATTTTAATTCCGACCTATTGCATTCCACGGCGTATATTTTTTTTCTTTCTTACGAGGGGAATTAAGATAGTTGACGAAGAAAATTACGTCGAGTTATGCGAAAACAACATCGTGTCGCATTTTTCGTTAAAATACTTTTGAAATACGCTCAAGAGAGTATCTTATTTTTTGTCGCGCGAATACGATAATATTACGTCGCATTTTACTTTATAAATTTTGTAGGACAATTGCAACGACAGTAAAAAATATTTTCCATTTTTCAAATACGTCAAATCAAGATAAATCCAACAATTTAATTTTTGTTTAAATATTTCAAATATTGGTAACGAGAATGTTATGACTTCATCGGACGTACTGACACACACGCGACATGTAGGATCCCTTAATACGTGTTATTTGCTGCTTCCTAATGTTGCATAACAGCGCAAACAGGAATAATAAAAACGTAACCTCGGTCGGAGCGTGCGACAACGCTCAGGTTCCGAATTTTGTGGTGATTTCATGTCGCGATGTCCTCGTCGTTAGTCATTAGCGACGCGACGGTGAGATCCGGACAAAAAAGCGCGATTAAATTCATTCTCTCGCGCGTGCTAGAATCAGAATATCCTCACGAAGTGACGAAACAAAAGTAAAAAAATCGCGTGCGGAGGAATATTAAAAGCCGCACGAAGGCAGGGTGAGGTCGTGTTCTTCTCGCATCGTTCCAAATGTTTCTTCTAACGGTGCCGCGCCTGCCTTTGAAATATTTCACATTCGTTACGGGATAACGGCGCGAAAATCAGAATCACACCGGCAATAAAACCACATCAAGCCCAGTTATACGACACTATTTTCTAGCCCTATAACGCGCGCGGTTCGAATAGCGCGACGATAATAACACTCCCGTTTCGCGCGCAAAACGCTTAGCACCTTCTTCATAGACTTTTATTGACGTGTAGAAACCCGATAATAAAATCGGAGGAAATGTCCGTCCCCTCCCCCCGCAACCAGATGCGGAGGAGCCGCTCGATCCTCCGAAGGTGCGAAGCCTCGTGTCCGCAATCGCAATCCGCTATTAGAAAGCTGCTGTTGAATTATAAAGCACGAAAGAATCCAAATGGAGCGACAATTATAGACGATTTATATATACATGACTATAGAAAAACCTCACACAATTCCCACATAACAGTTTAATTTGAAACTTACATTTCTGTATTACATTTCACACACGAGATTTTTGCCTGCGCAAGTCTTAGGAGAAAATCTCTAAACTAATATACATAAATATTCCATTTTACTACTTTTAATAATTCAATAATTAAATATTTCGAATAATTAAAGGCGTTTCTACTTCTTACGATATCTCGTAAAAGTATTAATTTTCTAAAAAATCTGTTACTCTATATTTGCAGCTTTTATCCGCCTGAATCAAAGCCATAAGATTCTGATTAATTAATAATGTTTAATAACTCTTGTCTCTTGATAAAGTTTTCAAATCAATATAAATTGTATAATCTTGAATAATCAGAAAAGATTATTTTTCACGTGAACTTGAACACTTAAAAAATTAAGATAATTGTCTCTTTTTGGGGCCTTTCGTTCGGCTCCACTCGTGAATACACTCGTTCACGAAAACAACTTGATGAGACTCGTTTTTATCTCGTTATTTTTTCGCGAAGCGGTGCGTTTTACAGTTAATATCGCCAGACTGTCTAATAAATTTGCGCGGACATCGTACAGTATGACCGAAAAAAGATGCGGCGCGGTCTCGACTGGGCGCTCATTACGAGCGCCGCGGCATTTCCGCGTGCGAGCACTGCGAGAGCCCGGCGCTTATTTTTCTCAATCTGCTCTCGCAAACTCGAAACTCGCCTTTCGTTTCTAGCCGTCGCCCGTTAACGCCGCGCAGTCGGAGAATCGACGAGGCCGGGGAAAGATTTTAATTTAGATCGTCGCGCGCGCACGAGGAGAGGAATCGCGCCGCGCTCCGTGTAAAAGCCGGGAGGGAAACCTCGCGCGCGTGTTCCCAGGGCACCGGCACTTATAAAATTCCCGCTTCGACGGCTGCCCTTCCCGACGCTCCATAGGCACGTAGATCCCTATGAACTTTATCTCTAACGGCTCACAAGCACTCTCGTTCGGGACGAATCCCTGCGTTTACGCCCGACACAATTTGCCAATAGATCGTATCTCGGATGTGCTTTTAGCTGTTCAGGATTTTCCAGTTTGTTCGTCCCGACGTCGTTTCCTTCGCGATCTTTTGAAAATTCTGTCGCAATGTTTAAATTTCTTTACATTTTCACGTTTTCATTCGGATTGGAACGTGTGCGATGTTTCGTATATTAAAACACTATTTCATTTTCGATATAAAATATCGGAGACGATTTTCAGAACTCGGTCCATATAAAATATTCTATTTTACAATACAACGTTACCGCAATTATCACAGTAACAAACTTTCGTCATTTGTAATACTTTATTACGATACTAAAAAAATTCACGAATTTATGAATTCACAATCACACTTTATGTTCTGCTTATTTGGAAAGATATATAGATGGAGTTATCGTATAAATTAGTGTCATAACATGTCTGCAGGAAGATTAAGATTTCGACATATAAAGCCAAACATATATAAACTTGTTTTGTCTGCGATAAAATAATATAATTACATTGTAGAAACAATTTTAGAACAGTTAGTAATTTTTTTTTTTAAAGCATTAACACTTCCTATATTTATATTAAATAATTCCGCAGTCTGACGTAAGAGTCTTTTTAAGTTTTAAGTTACGTTTTTCGTGATAATCGATATAAGTAATCTTTTATGTTTGATTTCTAAAGGACGGTAACATGACAAATATTACCTGAAAGAACGAACCGTTATTATATCGCTCTAACCAACTATACGGAAATATGACTCAAAACTAATAGAACACGCCGAGATACGCGCAACGAGCGCGGCGGTGACGCAGATGCCAGAAATGGAAATGGAAATCACACAAGAGAGTCGCAATCGTGACTCGCGAGGAGAAAAAAACAACCGGCGCGCGATCGCTTTATTTGCGTAACTACTATTACGTTCTTCGCGCACCTTCTTCGTCGCTCGATTATGCGAGGCGGCCCATCGCTTATCCGCGGCCTGGCAGAGAAATCTGGACGCCACGCGAAGGATCACGTTACGTGCGGGTGCATTATGGTGAATGGATCCAAGCAACGGCGATTCCCATCGAAGGCGTCCGTCCCGTCTCTCTTTCTCGCTCGCTCTCGCGCGCGAGTAACACTGACATACTTCGTATACGTCAAGGCCGAAAGTTCTCCCCCGGTGCACGGTGCTTATCGTTGCACCGTCTCGCGTATTCGTCTTCTTTATATCCGCAGTACGTCTCAATCGCGACTACACGCGACGCACGCCCGCCCGCCGTACGCTGAAACGCCGTGCGATAAAACGATATCGGGAGACTCGGCGAGAGGATTTTGCACCTCGGGCTGATGGGCGTGATCTTCATCTCGCGAGTGCGGACAGGCGAAAGGGCGAAAGGAAAACAGCGAAAAAGGAGCAATCGAGTTCTGCGCGCCGAGCTCACTTACAATTGGAGTGAACGGTTCTTATGATGGAAGACGTTCTAATATATATCGTTTTTAAAAAATAAAATTAAAATAAGCTTTTGAATAAAATTTTTAATTAAGCATGTACTAGGAAAAAGAGAGGAAAGTGTTCCGAAACATGTGTCTGATCATTGAGCTATTTAAACTACTTGTCTGAGCTTCTGAAATGCGAAAGATAATCTATTTTGATTATGTATTTTTTTAAATATATAATAATATTTTAATATAATTATTTACACTATATGAGATTTTCATTTATAAAATTAAGACGACTAATAATAATTTTTTGTCATAAGTTCTGATAAATTTCTTAAAAAATTAATATTATTTCTTTAATACTATAAACTTTTATCTAATATAATATAAGGAAAAAAGAAATACATTTTTTTCATGATTGGAGTACTTCGATGAAAAATTTGGTTTTGTTAGATTTAAAGAAGATACTATAAAATTTTGACCAATCCGAATTTAATTAATAAACAAATATATTTATATTTATAAAATTAAATTGACAATCCTATAACTTCTCCATACTTACAATTAGACTCATCAAACTACTGTTAAGCTGCTTGTCATCAACAAATAACACGGGAGAACTTTCCTATATCGTACTTATTAAAAAATTTATTCGACACGCATGACAAATCCGGCGATTCAAAGGCGCGTTAATTTGATTGGTCGTGTAATTCGCGGTCGTAAGTCTCGCGGCGTTTTAATTCAGGAGACTCGCCTAATCTCGACAGAGATCCCCGAGGACAGGTTTGACTGTCACACACGTGCTGGACATTTCCATAAATGTTTATTCCCGCTGTAATCGGCACGCTCGAACGTCGGCGCGTTGTTAATACGGCCGCATCAATGAATAATACGCGATATGCGTATACCTCCTCCGTATCCTGCTCGTCCCGCGAGGGCCCCCCTCGCGTCATATCGCGATCGCTCCCCATAGCGAGCGGGCGAGGAGCTCGGCCGCATGATCGGCCGACTCGATCTCGGTACGGGCAGATTAAACGCCTAGATTCGCGAGCGCGCGAGCCGCGCGAGTGAGGCTTAAAGCTGCCTAGCCGCACACGCGGTGATTAAAGTGTCCGTTAACGCGAGTTAATTGATCTTTCAGTTAATGGGATATTACCCTTCCGCTGGATTTCTAGTTTGCCCAGCGCCCGGCCGGCCGACCGACCGACCGGCAGATCCAATCTGCGCGCGAAATAACTCGCGCTCTCGCGCGCGCGCGCGGAACTCTCTATAATCTATTCGGCCCCGCGAACGCACGGCGCAGCGCAAACCCTACCTATCTACCCGACCTACCGAAGACGCTCGTATCGTTTCCCTTTCGATCAACGTCCGTGGCGACCCGCGGTATAATCGAGCCGAGTGTATCTGCCGGTTCGATCCGCAGAATCGAACTTGCGGCACTAACATCCTCGTCATCGTCATAATCGTCATCGTCAATACGTATATCGATATCACTTCGCCCCTATCGACATTAGATTTACCTTTACTAGTACAGTAGCATTCCGATCGCTTAGATATCCGGATATATTCTCTAAGGATACGCCCCTTCAGCTACGATCGGTTCCCCGAACGGAACCAGAAGAGCGAGAAGAACAAGGACCCTGTTTCTCTCCCTTGGAGAAACTTCGTACTTATATATTCGAACTGAGCACTCTCACGTTCGGCAACTGTCACTATCACCGCGAAATCCGTGAAGTCGACCTGACTTAAAACACCACCGATTACAATTGATTAGCGAAGCGAATTTTGTCCTGTCCTTTCCTTTCCTGGCGCCAATTCTCGACACTCGTCGTTATCCGACACGCAAGAGGTAACACCCAAGGCCGAGCACTCGACACCCGGCTAAACCGACAACCCGATCTTCTAAACTGTCTCGCACTGATGGATATGTATATATCCGAGATATCACTTGATATTACGCGATCCTTCGATAACCCGAACTCGCTCGTATCGACACCCTGTCTGTCGCCGATAGCACTGATGACATTCGTACCTCGCGCGATTCAGCTGCAGGGACGACCCGGATGACCAGAGGGGGGGTCTGGACCAGGGGGTACAGACGCGCAGACCGCCACCACACCACGCACACGCCGCTCGTTCTCCGTTCGTTCTCCGCCGAGCGCCGAAGAACTAATAAAAGCTGGGACCCAGGTTGAAACTGCGTAGGCCGCTTACTACTCCTTCCACCGCGGCACTCCGTCCTATCCCACCGGTGTACCGGGCCCGAGCACCGACAGAGACAGGCAGGAGAGTAGGCACGGATGGACGGATGAACGAACGGACGGACGTACAGAGCGACTTCAAGGTATACACATGCCGAGAAGCGCGACGAGTCTCTAGGTAAATAGTGTTGGTTATCGAATAAATCCTTAGAGTCAATGCATCAATAAATGACTAGGTAGCGTTATCGATTCGGATCATTCAATTTTTGCCGATATTATCTTGTTTTATACTAACATATGTTAGTCTAGATTTTAACGATCGAGTGATCTTGACATTAAAGAGTCGAGATGTTGGCGCTCTAGCTAGAACTGTATTACGAAAAGCATTACAATATTTTTGTATGTTGAGTTATTCAATTTTTTTTTTAATTGAAAGTCTTAAAATTCTTTTAAATTGTATTCCATCGAGACTTGTTGTTAGAATAGATAAAAACTAAATGACAAGCGCATTTTTAAATGTTAAATTTTTTATGTGAGATATATACCATTCAAGTAGTAATAAATAAAATATATTATGAAATCATTAATGATCATCAATCAAATGATTACCGGTAAATAATTCTATAAGTGCATTCATTAAAAGCTAGCATGTCGTTATCTTCAATAAAAATTAAAAATAAAAATACAAGAAAATATATACAAGTATTGATGCCTATTATGTATGAACTTTTCAAGAAACCAGATATAAATGCTGTTTCGAAAGATATCGTTAGAATTTTTAATATTGTACATGTCTCGTTAATAATTTTGTCAATATCGGATTGATATTTCAGCATATTCAAATAATTTGTGTGCTATTCGTACTGGCACACGTGTCTAAATAGATATTTATTTGAAAAAGAGAAATTTTTAATTTCGAAATAAATTCGTATATTGATATTCACATAATTAAATTCTGCCAGATACCGTTGTACGCTGAAAAAAGTTTGACATTTTCACATTGCTGGTGCCCGATTAATATCTTTGGCCCAAAAATTGATATCAATTGGTATTGACTGATGATGAAAAATACATGGTGTCAGGTGTCCGACACATCGCACAAGTGTATCAGTGCCATCACTATATCAGGTTCCAGTTGGCGCTGGTCACTCGAGCTGCCCGATGTTGTTGCTTCAGCAAGAGTTCTCTCTTTTTCTCTGCTTATCTATTGTAATCTCCATTGTAACACCCCGATGCCGCACTCTAAACAGTTCGATGACTCGATTATTTCATCGGTCCCGCCTGATTAATACCTCGGCCAAAATTGATGTCGATTGATATTGATGATGATAGATACACGATGTCTCAAGTATTCGATACCTCGCGCAAGCATATCGGTGCCCATCACCAGCGGCCGGATCCAATCCGGCGCTGGCCACTCATTGTTGCTTCTGCAAGTTCTCCGTCTCCTTCTGTCTCGCACTTTCTCTCTTTTTCTTCTCGACCACTCTTCCCATCCACCTATCTCTCCCTACCTGAGCGATCGCGCGCTGCCGCCGCTGGTGAACGTCACTCGGTCAAGGCTTCCCACCAAAAACCTGCAGCAGCGGCGCGGTACCACGCTCGCCACTTCGCTCACGGTCTTGTCACGGCCGACTTGGTCCACGGACAATGCTATACTTGGTGTGAACCGACGGTCGCCAGGCGAGGGTGAGGCTCTCCGTGTCGTCCTCGATAGCGTTTTAGCGATGCTAAGTGAATAGAGTGATGAATATGGGCCTCGGCCTTCGGTATGCACTCGTCGCACATATTTCGCGCTAAATGCAGTTTTTTAGTTATTGACTCTGTCTGTGCAATCTTCTCACACTCGTCTACTGTTTGGCAAACAGCGAAGATACATGATTGTAGTAAAATATTATCTCAAAGCTATCCGGCGGATATATTTTTACAGAGTCAAGAGTTTATTTAAGATTTTAGATTTCTTTGTATAATCAGTTAAGATAAACGCGTGAGGCGATTAATTATCTATTCATAAGATTATTTAGTAATAATCATAATAAAATATCTTTACAATTTTTTAGAGTGTTTTAAACATCTTCTGCGTTAGAATCACAAATTAGTTCTTAGAAAGAGATTAGTTTGTAGCCAGAGATGTACAGAATAATCAAAATCGCTTTTTTAATTATATATAATATAATACGCAAGCTGAAAAAATATCTTGTCGATATTATTTGTTCGGTGAAGTCTCTACAGGTTATTACAAATAGTTAGGGGGCAAATGTTAATGGTCTCGGCGAAGCGTTGATTTGCGATCACTCGTCGACGGTCGGCGTCACGGACAGTAGCGTATCCCGATAATAACAGGATATTTTACGATCGATTTGGCGGATAAGCGTGTTTGCGTTAGAGATCTGGTCTCCGGACTTTATGCAGGGCCCCGTGCGGCGTATCGACGCGCGGCGTTGAGATGATACGCGGGGCATTTCAGCAGAATATGACTATAAATAAAGAAAATAATGAGGATAGGCTACTGGGCCGGCCGGGCTGGCCGGGAGTAACAGGCACGCAGGAGGCGAGTTACCGGGAGAAAATTGTGCGCCACTAAATATAAGTATCGAGGAGAGGAGGTATATGTATAGCCGCGTAGAGAGAGTAGAACGGACAGAGTACAATTACACGTGATTGAGGATCGGTCTTGTTTCTATTTTGTCTTGATTTCTGTGGGTAGTTAGCCCTGATCCCGGCGTGGTCGGCCCAATCACAATGTCGACTCTTTCTCTCTTCACCGGAGCGGAGCGGAGTGGAGCGGAGGCCCTATTATGATTGGCGTAATCATCGCATGGGGCGAATCAGCGGCACTCACTCGGCTACATAAATAATTGAGCCTTAAAGTCGGCCTACGTGCCGTGGATCTAGCTGATGAGGGGTGGACGGACCGGGGCGGACGGATGAGAGAAGAGACGGCTGCTCCACATCGGACATGCCGCCGTGCGCGCCATGCCGCCACTAAGAGGAGAGTTATTGCGTAGCATGATGATGGGGCAGCAAGGCGGATCGTTAAGATACGCACCCTCGATGGAGTCGCTGCCTGTCCCGCGGAAAAATACGTTTATGCAAAACGCCGATCTAATAAATGTCCCCGGGTTACTACTCAATCAACGCTGCCGGGCTTATCGTGTTACATGAATTACAATATATTGATTGATTCCGCGACACTCATCCCTACTTGATTTTGCATATTGCAAAAAGCATAATGCGCCGCAACACGTAATGTATCAATATAACGAGGCTTATAAAATTCGAACATTTCATAATTTCGCTATCATTCACGTACATAAGCTACTTAATTCTAAATATAAATCTTAATTGCAATATTCTATTAACGAATTTTGAATTATTAAATGCAGCATTCAACTTAACTTTAAACTAATAATTTTTTGGAGTTTCTTATTATTACACGCTTACTAAAGACACTCACAATTTTATTTTGAAGAATTAATGCGATGTTTCGGAAACTTAGATCGCGCTCCGGCATATCGTGCGTTCGCAAATCGCAATGTGGTGAACGAAATTCGGCGACATAGGTGCCGCGAGATCAAAAGGTTTCTAAACCGCGCGATATGGCATGATTGCGTCTGATCGGTGATACCTGGCGCGCATTGAAGTGCGAAGGAACGTCCGTGTGCGTGATTTACGACAGCGCGAAGGGTCGGTGATTCTGGCTCGGAGAGAACTCGCGGGTCAGGAGATTTCCCTTCCGTGATGGACCGCGAGCTTCGTTCTCACACGTGATTGGCGTGAGTAAATGGGTGACGACTAGACTGGGTGGAAGCTCCGAGATTTTCGAGATGATGATGATGATGATGATGATGATAATGATGATGATGACGACAACGGCGATAATAATGACGGTAACTTGGAATGAGAGAGCACCTAAGGTTTCAACATATGCCAGCTTCCTTCGTTTCTCTCTCTCTTTCTCTCTCTCTCTCTCTCTCTCTCTTTGTCTTGAGCTCGGTTTGGAACATTGGAACTCGTATCGGCCTTGAACTTGCCGCCACGCTAATGAAGAGCGCCAATGAAGGTCTTTGGCTCACGGTGGACAGTCGCGGCGTCTAACTAGCCGCGCTGCTATCTGATGCTGGCGAACCACGGCGAAAGGGGCGACGGGCACCGATGAAGAAATTATTTTCACTTTCTCCGTCACTATACGCCGCCGAGAGCGTAAGTCGGTGCACGTGTACGCTCTCGAAGCTCGACCTCCTCGCCGGAGTTAATTACGACGTTAAATCGCTTCGCCGTGAAGCGCTGAATCCGTGACGTAACGAATGGCGCAACGGAAGAAATCGAATACCGAAGACGTCGACGGCTTTTGCTTTCACGGACTCGACAATGTCGGTTGCTCTAAATAAATCTTCTCAGACATACCTCTTTTGGTTAACGCATCGTTAATTTTTGCTACCAAAAATTCATATATCTAATATTCGTATTAAATAATTGAAATATGATGGGTATAAATTGATAATGAGACAATGACAGTTTGCAGCCTATTTTGCCTTCATATTAACCAGGAAGAGCGCGAAAATTATCGTATCGCAATTTCTCCCGCGATTTCATGATTTATTTAACAGACTCTGTAATTACGCGAGCCGTCACGCTTGACATTCCGCGAGTGGAAGAAGAAGAGGAAAAACAAATGGTCGAACTTCGGTGGAAGTAAGTGGCAAGCGGACGTATGTTACATGCGCGAGCGGCGACGAGTGTCATTACCTGCACACTTTCTCCGATGGAGTCACGTGCGGATAGCGGATAGCGAGAACCACATCGTAACATTTACCATATGAGAAAGAGAGAGAAGGTAGACAGAACAGGAAATGATTACATGGTCTAGGACCGAACGTAAATGAAATAAACGTAAACAAATGTTAAAGAAAAAAAATCAAGACAATAACTGCACCGGTATAGATCATCTCTAAATATAATCAATTTTTAAATA